ATCAATTTTTTGGTTTTTTTCCTTTTAGATTTTACATTTATTCTTAAGAAATAATTACCATAAGATCAATTTAAAGATCATCATTTAAATAATTTAAAATAATAAATTTAATTGAATACATATAATTTTAAAATATAAACTAATAAATATTAAAAAACATAATATAAGATAAGTTTACTAAGCATGATAATAAAAGAAAACTCAATTTTAAATTAAATTTATTATAAAATAAATATTAAATATAAAAAAAAAAAGTCTCAAACCAAATCTACAACAAAGACAAATATCAAATAGAAGAAGCACCATTACTAATTCAACACAATGCTCCCATGCAAAATTAGCTTTTCCTTTGTATGATTGCTGTGATTGTGTAAATGTAGCAGTGAATTTCATCTAAAGATGACATTTTCCTATAATTTACATAAATATATAAAATTATTAAGAAAATCTCCAAGAGTCCAAGTATGATAAATAAGAATTTGTTTAAATCGAAGATATTGTATTAAAATTTAAAATCAAGGCATAGCAGAATAAGAAAGAATAAAATCAAGCATGACAGATTAAGATATTCATAAATAATTGTCCCAAATCTTACACCGATACTAATTAAGAAAAAATTAATTCCTATCAACAATTAACAAGTTTGTAGAACATGTAAATTTGATAATGAAATTTAAGGTAAAGCTAAAAATCTTACTTGAATCAAATGGCCAAGAGGAGACGAGGAGTCACAGATAGCTTCAAATCTTAAGGGGTTAATTTGGGGGTTTTGCCTAATCTTTTTTATCTTGGACTAGTTGTGATTTATTAATTAAGTCTTGGAGCTTGATGAGGTCGCCTTTTTCCCAATCATGTAGCGTCCTTCTCCAATGTAAATTGATATTGAATAAAAATTCAGGGATTATTTTGGTTCTAAAAATTAAAGTTTAGGGACAATTTTAGTACTTTTAAAATTTTAACATAATTTTGACATAAATTAGAAAGTTAAGGGACTAACATGGTTCTTTAACCAAAAAATGTAGGTCCCTCAACTTTAAAGTTTACATAATTTTCATCCCTTAATTTTTTATACACTTTTTTAATCCTTCAACTATGAAAATTTTATTTTTTAGTTAATTCATTAAATTTATCTAAACATGCATATTTTTTGTCTCTCAACTTTATATTAAGAGACAAAAAAATACATATTAATATAAGTTTAACGGATTAATTGATAAAAAAAGCTAAAAAAATACATTTTTTATAGTTAAGAGATAAAAAATGCACAAAAACAATAAGGCATGAAAATTACATAAAACCTTCAACAGAGCAAAATTTATATTCAACCTAAAATTTACTCAAAACAACAAATCTAACAATGCTAATAGTAAATACTAATACTGAAATTTCACCATTAATTGTTGAAATTTTACTAGGAAATTCTCAAAAAATTATTCATAACTATCCATAAAATTTAGTTAAAACAGAAAATATAACAATATTAACTAATATCTAATGAACTAATGATAATATTTGATAGTTTAAATTTCATAAAAAAATTAAAAAATAGATAAAACATTTAAATTTAATGTCAAAATATATAAAAAGTAGTAATATTACCTAAGTTTCACTTACCACTACTTGATCCATCCATTGTAAGAAGAAAAATGTTAAAGTGATTCAAAGGAAAGAATGGAGGAAAGGAGAGCAAGAACTACTTGATGCTAGAAGAGGAAGACAAAAATGAAAGGGGAAGGGGGGTTCAGCAAGTAAGAGGTGACCCTCACCGATGGGATTCACATTGCTACTGTTTAAAGCTGATCATCTCTGCATTGCTTCAAGATGCTGGTTGACTAGGGTCATCACCAAGAAAATTCTAGTTGGCAATAATAGCATACCGACAGGAATCTTGCCAGTAAGTTGGACAAAAAGTTGCAAAACCAGGCACCAATAGCCGGATTCGCAGGGTAGGTGGGGGATAATGAAATTACCAACATGTTTATATTGTCGGCAACTTCACTGAGAAAAATCCTGTTGCAGATGATACAACTTACAAGCATGCTCTTCGTTAGTGATTGGGGTATTGGTCCATGAGCTACCAGATTGAATATTGCAAAATATTATCAATAAAGAGCATGTGTGTATAGTATAAATTTACCAATAAAGATTTTGTCTGAACCTTAACTTATATAAATTACTTCTATTTTAACTGTTTCTATTTTTGTAGACATGTTTCTTGTCGGTAAGATGTTGTATCCTTGAGGTACAACACAACTTCTCATCTGTATCCCTTTAATCAATTGATGGTCAAGGCCATAGATGGAAAAATTTTAATTTCTTGTGTTAACGTCAAAGTTAAGACATAATTGATTTCTTTTTAATATACTACAGTTTAAGTAGCTTACAAGTTATATATATTTGAGTTAAGTTCAAAAATATTTTCAAACTTAATAACAAGTGGCTCAGCTCATTTATAGTCTTACTCATTTGTGATGAACTTGCAAATTAATTCTGAAGAAATAAAATTTTGATTTATTGAAAAAAAAATTCAGAAGGAAAAAGGAAAATAGTTAGAAACTGATGTCAATCTAAAATGTGGGACTAGAATGAAAATGACTCTAAAGTAACGGGATTGATAAATGCTGTTTGCCCCAAAATCTACATCCATCTACAAATCGTGCAAAGAGAATATATGCGTTTTAACTTTCCAGCAGTCTCTTTCTTGACAAGAAAATGCAACGATTGTTATTTCAGAAGGAAAAAAATAAAATAAAATGAACAAAACAACTTAACCAAATAATCAATTACTTTAAAAAAAAAGAAAAACATTAATGTACCTTTCAATTCAAAACTCTTACCAACATCCTTTGGTTTAGCAATTAAAATCTACAAATGATATCAAATAGGTAACCACTCCTTCAAGAAGGAGAAGTGGTGAGCCACTTGCTCCTCCACTCATGGTTTGTAATAAGAAATGTAATTGTGTAATTGCGACATGTAATTGAGACAATTTAGATATAGGATCCAGGAAAGCTAGGTGGTGGATTTCTAGAAGACTACAGTTTTGGAATTAATACTCATATCAAGCAATAATTAATATACGTATACTCTTATTTTGTGATGCAGAAGGAACTTTGAAGCATCTTTTGTGGATATATTGCATTGGATACTAGCAGTTTACATGGTCGTATATATGCCTAATCTAGACAGAATCTCCTTCTCCTTAATTGGTAATCTTGAGGGTCATCATATCACGTCATCTAATATTGCGTATTGAGTCAAACGTTTACACTCTCTTAATTTGTTGGAATATAAGCATTTGTCTCCAATATTTGAAGAACCTTATGCCTAGTTATCCATATATATAGGTATAAGCATAAGAGCTTTGTTTATAAATATAGATAGGTCACACTAAAGCTAGCACCATCAAGTTCAAGTCTCATTAACCAACCAGTTCCTACTACTGTTACTTCAATATACATTTCATTCCAACTAATTAGGTATCCTGCTCCAATCCAGTAGCCCGGATTACCTGTGTCCTTATCCCGTTGATCTTGTTGTGGTGAGGAGACTTTTAGGTGACTTATTAAAGGATAGCAAAATCGTTATCACTGATAACATTGGCAACATATTAAAGGATCAAGGCGAATTTTCTTAGCATCCGAGGCCAGCGTCTCTTGGTTGACTCTGATTGTATAATAATTTTCAGAGAAACCGATTGATGGATTAGTGTTTGTCGTTTTTGTAATTAAGAAAGGAAAATATATGTATATGATGTTGGTCGAAAGTCCAACCCCATGCATGTGAACACATGGACTTTCCATGTGGTGAAATTTCTTCACCAACCTAGCTAGTTATGGGCTAGGATTGCTTTGTTGAAATCATGTAAGATTGCATGTTGACCCATTTAATGAGCAAGAAAAATCATGCACCGGTGGTAATGAGGCAAAGAAAAATGGTGCATGGGTGGTTGGATTTTTCACTATAAATACCAATGCATGCAAAGGCAATGGGCAAGCAAGAGAAATTGAGGGAGACCTCTTGTGAAAGAAAAGAAATAGAGAAATTTTGAAAAATCCTTGTGTAGATTAAGAGGGAGTATTAGGGAGAATTTGGGAGTTTCTATACATTGAAGATAGGGTGTTGAGTGCTTCTTGAGTGAGAGAGTTTTTAAATTATTGTACTCTTTTTTCTTAATAGTAGATTTATTTCTCTCTTTCCCATGAACGTAAACTTGTTGAGAGGTGTACAAGTCGAACCACGTTAAATTATTGTCTCAATTTCTTTATCGCTTTCATTTGTGTGAGATTGTGGTGCTCGAAATTCCCAACATATGATTGAATTGCAGATATTGTCCATGCATGATAGATGGGAAGCATATAAGGGAGAAAGCACGGAGGATGCTGATTTCCTGTTCACAGTGAAGAAAAGTGCCATGGTCCAAATGAAAAGAAGTTACAAGTCTTCTTAGCCAAAAACACCAATGAGTATGCCTGTGATTACTGCAGGCTGGAGGGCAGTTTCTTGCAGGATTCCTGCAGAGTTGATGTTGGAGAGACAAACAACATCGTTGCACCAGTAAGATACATTCCATAGATTCTGCTCTGGCCATTACGCTAGACGAAAATAAGGAAAACACAGCATTTTTTTGGCTAAAAGTCAGCGTTTTAAAACCCAACAAAAAAATGTTCCAGCGTCGAGTCTTTTGTGCTGGGCAGCATTTCGGAAAACGCTGAAATAACTTAACTAAAGACACTGTTCCTTCAAAATGCTGGAATAAGGGTATGAAAATGCTGTCTTTTCCCCTCCCATAATTGAATGGAAACTCGGAAGGTTGGCTTTTATAAACACTGACATTGAGCACTACATTTTTTCAAGATTTTGCCATTTCTTTTTTATTGATTTTAATGTCCAAATATTTTTTTATTTTGCAAAATTAAACAAATATCAAATAATCTACTAAAAATTAAAAATAAATTGAAAGTAACATTAAAATCCAACATATAATATATTTGAAGATAAAACCAAATCATTCAAATTAAGTAGTAAATTAAGATTAACATTTATAATAGATAACATTTGTAGCACTGCAAAATTGTATCAGCGACTAAATTGTATTGTCACAAGCCCTTTCCCACGCATCCATTTTCTAGGTTCCAAATATGTACACTCTGCATACATTAAAGTAAAAAGGGTCACTAAGATAGTCGAACAATTTTCAAGCAATTCAATGAACTTCAACTGTAAATCTATAAATCAACATCATCTCTATTTTATACTTTCTTATGATAAGCTTAAAACCAATTAATGTACTAATTACTAAAGAGCCATTTCCCTAAACATCAAGTTTACCAAAATGGCATGCTCCTTGCCTTGATGGTTAGAGTGCTGAATTTATTAGGATGGTATCTGATCAAACAAATCAAACATATTCCATAATGAGTTCACTTAATACTAACTGACACAGGCAAGAACAACTTCTAATTTGGGTAAATAAAACACAATCTAAGATGGATAACAATACTCTAGACCAAAGCATAAAACAAAAAGTTTATGCCTGATGAACTGAATTTATATAGATATTAATAGGGAATTTTTGTCTTAATATTATTGATATTTGGATGAATTTTATGAGATTTTACATGCTTCTCATTCTTTGTGTAGAAAAAGGCTTGAATGCATAAAAATAGGAGTTCTAGGATTAATTGAACATCTTCTTAAAGTTGAGGAACTGAATTGCAAGAAGAAGGGCTGTTGTTTGGGACCTAAATGAATGAATCCTGAGTTTGGGGATCTAAGTTCTCATTGTAAAAAAGATGGTGGATCAGATCTATTATTTTACCATTGAAAAAATTGCAAAAGCAATCTGGAAACTCGACACGAGTGTAGTGTCAACATATAATCTGGATGTCGACACCATGCTTTAATAGTCTAGAATCAAACTTTCTGTTTCCTATTTTGTGTCGACATATAATTCGAAGTGTCAGCACCGTGCGTTCAATATCCAAAATTCAAGTTTTCTATTTCTGTTCCGAGTCTTACTTCTATTTCAATTAGGGTTTCTAAAATCCTATAAAAACCCATCTAAATTCAGAATTAAGAGAGCTTGGTGGAGGCTGGTGGCAACCCTCGTTTAGGCATTATTGGAGATCAAGATAAAGGTTCCATCAACAATAGAATATTAAAGAGTTCGATTTCCTCAAATTGGGTTTTGTTTTTCCTTGGACTTTTATCTATTGTTTGATATTTGAATATTCATAACTATGATTTTAGATTTTATTATTTTTATTATGAACTAATTCATTCTACTATGGCTACGATATAACTTAATCAATCCAATATAAATTTTGTAATTATATACTTTCAATTAAAATTATTTGCATAAGGAGTTTATATTATTGAACTTAATGCATTGGAAGCCTGATCATCTTTCAATTGATTTAGTGATTTATGCATGAACTTGAGAAAGAATTGCGTAAATTAGATCAATAATAATATAAATCGTGTTAGACTATGAGACCGAGAAGTAATTAGCTCACATGTGGTAGTGAATGAAGAGAAGAAAGTTAGTAGCCCCCCCTTCTTAAACTATAGGTTTACATGGAATTTAATGCTCATTAGTTTATTTAAAATTATATAGAGATATGATTAATTTAACAAACAAATGAAGGATTAACTTAATTTGAGAAAGTTAGTTAATTAATTTAGGGAAATCCACTATCACATGCAATAACACTCAACAATTTGCAACAATTTGATAATCCAAAATTTATATTGATTGATTATTGTGAAATCAATGCCTTAGTACGTCATATCTTGATTGGTTTGATTTTAATTGTTATTTTCTTTTTATTATTTTTTAATTGAACATTCTTCTTTTTCATTGTTCAAATAAATTTGAATTAATTATTTTGGTACTTAATTAAACACAATTCTTGTGGGTTTGACACTCTTCTCATCATTATATTACTTGGGGCGATTAATATACTTGTTAAGGTGATTTTAGTGCATTAATGACTTCACATGGTCTTTACCTCTAAGCTGTCCTTTCCGACCGATTCTCTGTAGATCATTATGCATTCCGCAATCTTCTTTTGCTTCTCAGCATTGAAAACCCCAGTATGAAGCTCAAGTCCTTGAACCACATTGAATTGAACAACAAATAGATAAATAACCAAAAATAGAATTCCTTTTGGCTTTCGCATAAAATATATATCATCATAATCAGGGGTGAAGTAAACAATAAAGCATCAAATCTACTCAATTCAAAAACCTATTTCCAAACAATCAAAACCCATGACAGGTGAAACCAAGTCTTGCTTACTTGCCTGGACTCCATGCTTGATTTTGCTCAAGCTGCCTTTGGCTCCTACACCCACATATGGCAATCCATTTGCAAATTAATGCTCGCACTACATCAAATGAAATCATACACTTCACAAAAAGGAACAAATCATCTACTGCAAGTTTCCAATTCCAACGCATACATTTCAAGGTTTAGAAATTAACATCCGTAACCTTTTCTAATCACTTAAACAAATCATACACTACTCTAACATGAATATTCTGCAATAAATCTCATTTCCGATAATTCCACAAAAATATATTAATAAAGGGTTAAAGAGAAATCCTTTAATAAATAGCTTTGTTCATTCAATTGATTTAGTGAGAATGCAGAAAATTGATCACGAGAAATCACATTTGCTCCAAAGAAGCCAAAAATAGTTATTAATGAAACAACAAATCGAACAAAACAAATGGTAGAGAAAAGAAGTAAGGGAACTTTAAAGTGACTTTTTCCCTTGAACTCAAGGATATTATAACAAGTAAGTACTACAAGAAAAATAGTTTTTAGTGATAAAAATTTGTAATAAATTTTGAAATCATCATTATAACTTATCATAATTATGACAGATTTAAAAAATTAGTCACATATGCATATATATTTAATGATAAATAAAAAAATTCATCATAAAAAATATATTTTGTCACTGAAAAAAATTCATAGAGATAAAATAAGTTTTGTCGATAAAATCGTCACTATAATGCATTACAATTATGACATAATTTTAATATTGGTCACATATACCTTACACATTCAATGATGACCAAATAATTCATCACTAAAAATTATCAGTTTTCTCTAACCAATGCATCTCACACCGATAAAAAACACATAAAAAATAAAGTTTTGCACTATAAATATATCCCACATCGATGAGAAATATTTAAAAAAATAAATTTTTACATTATAAAACATGCGAAGCACAATAAAACTTCAAATTAATTTGGGCCTGATTAATTTTAATCAGGGTTGATTAATTTTAATCAAAATTGGTTAGTATTGAAATAATAATATTTTTTATTAAACTTTTGTAATAAATTTATAT